AATGTTTTCGATGGCCTTCTTCCTCTGCTCTTCCCTCCACTTCTCCACACGCTCCTTCCTCTTCCTCATCTCCTCCTCCAGCTTGTTCTGGTCAAAGTCTTGCTGTATGGACACAGAGTAAAGATCAGAAATATTTTCCCCCATCTACTATGTGGTGACCTTTTAGACCGGTTTTTGGAGGTCAGCAAGAAGGTAATATATGGAACTTACATCCTCAACCTTCTCATCCTCTTTCTCCTCTTTAATCTTTTTCTTGTCAGTTAAAGGATCAACGCTGTCTTTCTCCTTGCTCCTTGACCTGTGGAGGAGATGATAATAAAGAGAATAAGAAAAACAGTGGTATGTTGGAATTATTCTTATAGGTTTTTGAAAGAAACCGAGGAACGTTGAAGGCGACAGTGCACTTCAAAATGCAGTGTTTGAAGGAATCATTACCATCTGCCAGTATATTATCTTCTAGAAGATCTGATTTTTTGTTTAGGAAAAGGGGCAAAACACCTCTATCTGTTGCCTTTTATTTTTACTGTACATACAGCATCTGGTCCTATGCAGAGCTGTTCTGACATTTGCTGCCCTGTGTGTCAATATATGCTGTTAATATATGAAAGCTGCACCTAAAAGCTGCATTAGATTACACATTTTACTTGATGATTCCAGGGGTTTTAATTACCAGAGCTGTCAATTATGTTTTGAGAGGTTTGATTTTTTTTTATTTTAAAGCCTCACTTTTCATCTGGTCTCCTGCTCTTGCTGGGGCTAGCAGATCGGGACCTCCGGGCTCGGGTCCTGCTGCCCGACCTCCTCCTCTCTCTGCTTCTGGACCTCCTCCTCTCTCTGCTTCTGGAGCGCCTGGACAGCAAAGGCAAATACATGACACAGAGACAACATCGGTCTCTTGCACTTCTTAGGACATTAAAACACTTGTAATTTGTTCATTATCTCAAGCGACCCCTTAAACAATTACTAAACCATGGATTTTAGAGCACATACAAACAAATTCAGACTCTCCTAAAATCAACTGTATTAGTTTTATTGTTATTTGTTTTGAGGTTAAACGTACTTGTCCATCGTGAACACAGACCGATTCCACTTTGGGGTTTTTGTGGTTCTGCCTTTACAATTTTTACTGTAAAGAACACAAGCATCTAAAACCAAAACCTTGTGATAGCTGCTATCGGGGATCAACAAGCACCATAATCTTGTTTTGAAAGTACCGCTACAAAATGATCTTCCTCACGTCTCTTCTTCAGTTCTAACAGAGACTGCACAAGAGGGTAAAAACATCACATTGGGATCATTTTCCCAGAAAGCGCAATCGTGATATTATTCACGATTAGTGGGAATGATCATTTTTGCATTACAATTTTATTTTCACTTAAACATTAAAGAAAAAAAAACACTTTTATTATCTCTTCAGTGCTTCATTATAATGCTTTTTAAGTCAAACATTTTGCCTTCAAACATGTTTAAATCCTACAATTTAGATAATATTTTGCAGCCCTAGATCTCAACAGTGCTACAGCCTACAATAAAGAGCAGTGAGTCCCCCGCCCTCAAATACAATAAGCACACAGGCTGTAAATACAACCCACCTGCAGCTGCTTCAAAAACAAAAACAACCTCGTTTTTAGCTCTTTAAAGTGCAAACAACTAAAATGTTTATCTTTATTGTCAACATACAATAACGCAGAGCACTCACCTGGCTCGTTTTCTGTCTCTGGACCGGGACCTGCGGCGGTCTCGGCTCCGTGACCGCTCTCTCCTGCTTCGGTCCCGGTCCCGGTCGTCCTTCTTGGAGCGTTTGTCCGGGGAGCGACTCTTTGATCGGCTTCCCGACCGTCCCCGAGACGCGGATCGTTTCCTGTAGTGTCTGAGGAGCAAAACAGCACAACAACCATGATAGCTGCGAGTCAGCCAGCTCACTGCTGATGAAGCAACGACATTAACAAACACTTTTAATTCATATTTCCACCATTAAATGCGATTAACAGTCGGCCGACACGCTGCTGTAACGTGATGTCGCAGCTAGCGTGCTAATCCAAATTAGCCACCGACATTTAAACATCTGAAGTTTAAAGCACAGAAAATAAAAAACAATCGATTTAAACCGGAGATAAAAAACCAACAAACTGACCGGATGTTTCCGGCATACCTCGACTCACGCCCCATTGCTCTTTCGCGAAGTTATTGTCCCGTAAAAAGAAACTCAAACGAGTTCACGGATAACGACGACTGCGGAGCGATGGACGGTTGTTGTGTTTTAACCCTGCGACAGTTCAACTCGCCAAGTCGGAGGGTGAGCAGCGGAGTGCGCCACCCAGCGGTCGGAGGTCAGAACGGCCACTACAAAAAGTCTGAGTGACACAGGTGGTGCCAAATGTTTTTAGAGAAAAGAAGAGAAATAGAAAACACATTAGAACCCACCCAGTGTTTTACTAGTTACTTAAATATGTAATTTATTACTCCTTACACTTTACTTATTACTCCCTGCCAACCAGTGGCGTGCACAGTGCACTTCAAAGGAAAAGGGCAAATTTGCTTTATTTTACTGTAATACCATCTGGTCCTATGCAGAGCTGTTCGACATTGCAAATATTACAAAAATGCAGTGATTACACATTTGACTTAGGATTCCAGGTTAATTACCAGACTGTCAATTATGACAAAAAACATCCATTTTTACTAGTTACTTAAATATATAATTTTTCCTTCTTCATTTTTTTTTTTTCCCCCCCCACCAATGGGGGGGTAGGGGCCCTTCAAAATGCAGTGTTTGAAGGAATCATTACCATCTGACAGTATATTATCTTCTAGAAGATTTGATTTTTTGTTTAGGAAAAGGGGCAAAACACCTCTATCTGTTGCCTTTTATTTTTACTGTACATACAGCATCTGGTCCTATGCAGAGCTGTTCTGACATTTGCTGCCCTGTGTGTCAATATATGCTGTTAATATATGAAAGCTGCATTAGATTACACATTTTACTTGATGATTCCAGGGGTTTTAATTACCAGAGCTGTCAATTATAAAATAGAAAACACATTAGAACCCAGTGTTTTACTAGTTACTTAAATATGTAATTTATTACTCCTTACACTTTACTTATTACTCCCTGCCAACCAGTGGCGTGCACAGGGGGGGCAGGCGGGGCGGGCGCCCCCCCTTGTGGCCTAATTGTTGAAAAACGCGTGCTAAACTGCCCTCAAGTGCCCTCTTGGGAGCTAAAACTCGCTAAAGTGTCCTATTGGGAGGCCAAAAAAAGCGTGCTAAAGTGCCCTCCTGGTTGGCAAAATACACTAAATTGCCCTCTTGGGTGGAAAAAACACTCAACGGCCCTCTTCTAAGTTCTATTATTAGGTAGAGATGCTGCCTAAAAGAGGTGCAAATATGGTGTTAAAATGCACTAGAATACAGGAAATGGCATCTTCTTAATTGAAAAGGTTCTGGGGGAAGACCGCCAGACCCCCCTGGGGATTTATTTCCTTCATACATCCATGTCGCTGTGTGTTCTTCACGGTCCAACATTGAAATGCACACAGTTCTCATGGATGCTGATCCTAACAGCAAACTAACCTTCAAAAAGTCTATGCACGCCACTGCTGCCAACAATTATTAGTTACACTACTAGTTAAATTGCTTTTCTGCTACTCCCCACAAAATTGGCAATCCTCCCCAAAATTCAGACTAGCTTTTTAAAATCAAAATAATGGGAATATTTCCCAGTGCTGAACGTAAATGTTTCCATCTCCTATATGTACACTGCTAGTTACTGTGGAAAGTATTATTATTTACTAGTAATGCATTACTGCCCAACACTGTTAAAACCATAAATATATTTTAATGGGCTCAACCAGAGGTGGACTTGAGTATTTTCCTTTAATACTTATATACAGTATATTCTTAAAATACTCTATCAACTACCAGAGATTTACTTTTTACTCTGCTACATTTAATAGAAAATAGTGAGGACTAAGTGATGACTTACACTGTTATTTTATGCTATGTTCTTAACTCGTGACTGGGTTTTGTTTTTTGTATCTGGAACATATTGTTGGTGGGTTTTTTTAATGAACTTGTGTTTTTTGTTTTTAAAGGCTTTTATGCTGCTTGCTTTTATCAGCTGTAAATCCAACATTCCCTCAATTAAAAGAAAATAATGATTTCAGTAAAACCTTAACACTCTTCCTCTAAATATGACTGAGGAATACAGTCATAATCAATACAATGGCATTAAAGCAGATTTAAGGAATATTTTCCCAATACTGATATACATCTTTATACATAAAATGTGCATGAAAAGTTACACAATGTATATTATCATCCAGTATTTCACTGAGCTGCATTTGGTCAGACAAAAATGCTTCAACATATGAAACAAAAACACTGAATTATTGGCCGCCAATGACTGAGAAGAGGGTGAGAGGGAAGCTGAAAGACATCATGGACAACCCCTCTCATCCTCTCTAAACTGAGCCGAGGCAGCACAGGAGCACTTTCAGCCACAGACTGATCCAGTCCAGTGCCTCAAAGTGTTTAACTTTAACCTGCACAACTCTATTACCTTGTAATAATTGCACATGTACAGTTAGTTATACACCATTTCTTGCACACCATATTCCTTTATTGCATACTGCGTATAGTGTACATATTTTCATTCTAGTTTTTATATGTTCTATTATATCTTTATAATGTTTTGAATATTCTTTATTGTATTTGTGCACCACATTTCCCCTGTGCTGCTGTCAAACTTGAATTTTTCAATAAAGGAACATCTTATCTCATTCTTAATAATAAGCAAACTATTCTTTATTTTGCAGTTGGCCCTAACACACCTCAACTTTAGGACTATTAAAATAAATTTAGTTTAGAGTCATAACCTCAATTAAAGCTAAAAAGGCAAATCTATCCCAGGAAAGCAGTTTTTCCTGCAATTCATAATGTGCACTGTGCCAGTTTCATACCCCCATAAATAAAATACATTAAGAAAGTGAGAGTCAAAATAGAGTATGTCACACAAGTAGTATTTTATTTGGTATGAATTGTCAGATTATTCATTCCTGTGTAGGTTTTTTAAGCAGACTGTTTACATCATGTCAACACTAAATGTTGTTACTGAAGTTCAAATAGATACTGTAAGAGCCATAAAAACAGTTATTCTGTAAACATTATCAAAAACAATCAGGTAGGTCAGACAAGTCATAGGATAAATCACACCAATTCATTTACATGAAAAAAGAAAAAACACATATTCACACTAATAAATTAATTTGGATGAAATTAGAAGAATTGAGAAAGGACATAAGAGCACAGATGTAGAGAGTATATATGAAGTATGTATGGATGAGGCTTGAATAAAGCAGAGCAGGAAACGTCACCAGAAATACTGAACACAAATAACATACAAACTCCCACTGCCTCTCATTCATTTGCAGTGACAGTGCTTTCCAGTAAAACCCCCAAACATTGCCCTCAATCGCACTTCTCATTGCGTACATATACTAAAGTTTACTGTGTTTTTTATTTATTTATTTATTTAAGCTCGTGCAAAATAATACACTCCACGTTTAAGGACTAAATGCTTCTTCTGACTTCACAACCTAAAACGATGGGAGAAAACTAACATAGATGGACCCTTCTGAACACCAGGTAACAGAAAATACAACTGAAAGAAAGCACTGAAAATCTGTCACAACACGAATAGATATGATTCTTATCCACCAATTAAAAAGGAGAGGTCAAGTTCTCAAGAAAACAATTAAATATAATCAATAAAGAGGTTAGTGTTTCAGTTGATGGATGAAGAATTCAGCATCCTCTTGCTTGTACAAAAGATACAGAAAATGTTGTCTAATGTTCCTAAAAACGTTTTGTTTCATCTCAAACTAACCCATGGCTGGAGGACCATGTGTGGAACTGTTCCTCAGGCTTTGTGAACTCAAAACAAGAAGCTTTTAGTTTTTCATTTATCTTCAAATCGACTGATATTTATTTATTTCCTGTATCCAGAGTACTTTTGCAATCTCTAGCTTTCTTCACTACCTCTATCTCAAGACATTAACACTGTGATCAAAGCTCTTGATCTCAGATTTGTTTTAATATATTTTTAGAAGCAAGCACTTTCTGTTTCACCTACTATAAGATTATCAGTGTGTTAAAATGAACGCTGGCTGCTGCGCTGTAGCTGTATTTACTTCTCGAACTCCTTAGCCTGAAGGTGGCCGTGCAGCCTTATTGGATGTCCATGTGAAACCACTTTTCTTGCTATCTGATGTGTGTACGACAGAGAAGAGTCGAGGGGGCCATATGTGAATAAATAGTATTTTTGAAAACTAATCTCAGAACACACGTTTTGACATTTGTCCTAAACCTCAATGTAATTTTGTTTAAAAAGAAATGTTTTGTCCGACCTCAATGATGGTTACCATTTGTGACACAACTGCTGCACCTCAAGCTCATCGGCTGCTTGAGGTGCAGCAGTTGCAACAATAATCAGCAGATGTGAAGACAATATGTATAAAAAGGAAAAAGAAAAGCCTGCCAGTCTTAATGATACTCTGTCTTAAGCTTTCTGCTTAATTCAGACATAAACTGTGAATCATAACGGATTAAAAAAAACCCACGAAATCTCTTCATTCCGAGGGCCAGTGTAGTTAAATCACTTATACTACCTCTGACAGCCTTCGTTCATCCGGCTATCAGATTATGTGAAGTTTAGATTCAGATTTTGAATGACATGAACGGAAAATGTGCTGCCCGACACACTGCAGGGCTGGTTAATATGATAAACAGTGGTGTAATACTAGTTGGGAGATCAACTAAATCCAAATTTCTCCAGCAGTTCTCAAAGTTTTACCTTCAGATTTGGTTTTACAGCAATCAGACACCTGCTGAGGAGTCTGCGTCACTGAGAATATGACACCATGCACAGATTATTCACCATCTTTGGAGATTATTCCGATTTAATTGGATGAAAATTCAATATCCTTCTTCATCAGCTCTCAGTAAATCGTGTCATGACAATAGCAACATATTGTCTTTTCTTTTCATAAATGCAGTTTTTTTTTTAAAGCAAGACTATGCCATTGTCAAATAATAAATAACACTGACTTCATAAATGCAAACAATTGCTCAACTCAATACACCCTGGGGGTTTTGCAGCTACAGCCTGAACTGGTCTGGTAAGAATAATGTTACAGACATTAATGAGTTAGTTCTCTGGCTTTCTATAGCATATATGCTGTTGCGATGTTTTTTAGCATTTCCAAGTATCCTATAATTGCGGTTTATGTCGGCGGCGGCTGCTGTTTAGCCAAAGTTACATAATCTCACTTTAAATGAATGATCTCATGCAAACAATTAGAGTTTTTAAACAACTTCACAGCAGCTGGTGGTTTTTTTTTGCTGCCCTCTGTTGGCTCTCACCTTGCTGCAGTGAAGTAGAAGTGTACTCCAGGGCGTGTCAGTACATCATCACTCTTGTGGGTGTGGTTACACACTTGAACTAGAGAGGGCAGCAAAACACGGCTTTTCAGCCAGGTGTTGAGTTACTCTTTAAAGTTTCTGTTTGTGGAGTTTTTCTGATGTAATGCATAGTACTGGAGGACAGTTCCTTGCATTGCGCACCAGTTTGATTACTTTGTGTGTAATTTTGCATACCCTTTGCCATATTGTGATGTCAGAAATGAATGATGTGAAGTCAGTTTGAGAAATGTCGCCCAGCATTTGAGGGACTCCAGTGTTTCCCATTCAGAAGTTAAATGGCGTCTGTGGCTGCCAGACTGATGACGAACTGTACTGTTGTCCACTCTTGAATATGACATTTACCGTTTTCTGTGATAGACCTGACAAATAAATATCACTCAGCACAACAAATGCCTCTGTGCATTCTTCACACAAACAAACATACTATCTTTCTGTTTCTCGGCTTTAGTCCGGAGAAAAAAAATGGAGATCTGTAACAAACACCAGGCTCTCTGGTCACATGTAGCTTAGCCTTAGAGGAATCCTGAAGCACTGAATTAATGAGCACTCGTCCAGCTGACGGGAGGCCCTGTTAATAAGGCAGTGAGGATTTGTTTCCAGACTGTCGACAAACAAACCCACGTCAGCCGACGTAAATGACCGTGCCTTGTTGCTATGGGAGACGGAGGGAGGGAAGATCGAGAAGGGAGAGCGGGGTTTACTGAGATCCTCCTGGTCCATCAGGGAGTCTCTGAACCAATGAGCTGCAGGATCTCATGGGAGAGGATGAAGGTGAAGAAGTAAACGCAGAGGTCGGCAAAGACGTCGCCCATCCTCCTGTAGGTGTCCATAGAGCGGTTGATGACCTCAGCGGGGATGCCGGACAGCAACAGGGCAGCGGTCAGCACAGTGGTCTGGGCCTTCTTCTCTACCTGCAGGAACAGATGTACAACTATGATGACATTTCTTTTGTTTTGTTTTTATAGTTAATCAATTGTTTTGGTGTATTTTTTTTTAAACACTGGAAAGAGCCAGGCTAGCCGTTTCCCCATGGTTTCAGTCTTTATGCTAATCTAATCACCTACTAGCTCTAGTTTCATGTGTAGCTTAGAGACATGAGGGTGATTCCAGTCAACACTGAACGATTCCTTCACACAATGAAGATATCAAAATACTTTGGGATAAAGAGTTCTCTCACATTTAAATATACAGTTTTTTATAATTAAAAAAATAACAAATCTGAGAAAGGGCTCTTAAAATAAAATATCTTAAAAACAATCTAGTGCAAACTCACCTTTGGAAAGTATTTGGACAACCCCATGTAGGCCAGTTCGAGGGTCAGAAATGGAGCAAATATTGACTAGAATGAAAAAAAATATGAGTCACATTAGCAGAATAAAATCATGTTTCTGGCAGCTAACATTAAATGTGGGCTGCTTTCAGACTTCAGCAGGGAATGTGACAAAAATGAATGCATGCAGAAATCAGCATGAGTAACCCGAGCACTTACTGACAAGAGACGGGAAGTGAAAACACCCAACTTCTCAAAAACTCACCAGATACTTGCAGACGAAGCCCCTCACAAAAACAGCGAGGAGGATGCTGCCGATGAGCCTGAAGATTCTGAAGGGATCAAACTCCTCCGTCTCAGGCCCTCCGTCCTGGGCCGGCTTCTCATTGGCCAGCTGACCCCGCAGTTTCATGGCATCGTCAAAGCGGGACAGGTACTTCTGGAGACCTCGACGCGGGGAGCCACTGATGTCGTCCGATACCCGCTCCCCCCTCGGCCTCTGTCGTATCCCTCCGATGTCGTCTTCCAGAGAGCCTCCGTGTGGCTCGCTGAAGCCTGGCAGGGGTGAGCCCCTCCTCTCTGGGGTGGCGCTGTGGGAGCGGCTGCCGAGCCCCGAAGCCTCTGGCAGGAAGGGAGACGGCCTCGGGGGTGATGAGGATGACGACCATGGCTCTGTCCTGTCGAGATCGAGGTGGAAGTGGGGCTCTGTGGGACGCTGGGACGCTCCAGCTGCAGGTGTAAGACAGCAGAAGAGTGAACTTGTGCTGAAACTATACGTCTATTAGTTGTTGTTTAAGTTATTTATCAGGGAAAATGACAGTTACAAACTCTCAAATGTCAGAATTTACAGCTTTTCACTGTTTCATATTGTTAGAAATTGAATATCGTTCAATTGTGAACTGCTCGGAGGGCCATATAAGCAATATAAGGACATCACTCAGGGCCATTTTCACTATTTTCCAACAATTTATAGGCTATTAATAATTAATGGTAAATATTCCCCAGATTAACAACTGCAACCCTACATTTGACAACAGCTACAGCTACACAAAAAAGGTGTTGGAGCATATTTCACAGCTCAACAGAAAGCCGAGTCTGGCAACACTGCTGCATGACAAAAAAAAAAAAAAACCCTGCACACTCCCACGAGTGTTTTCATTTATTCCGATTCAGCCGATTAGTCCTCTGCTCAGATTGACGTTGGTTGAAGCTATGCTGTCAATCAGCTGGTGATCTTCAGTGAGGTGTCAGTCCACCACAGTCTGTACCCATCCACACATCCAGGAGGGTCAGTGCTGGGCCTTTAACCGAATACTGATACTGATATTGGGTTCAGGTTCCAGCATTAACTTGGCTCAATGCTGTATTCCTTTATATATCCAATCCACAGTCCAAAACCCAAAGATATATTACGTTTGTTATCATAGAAAAAGAAACCAAACATTGACTCTGATGGCAGAGAACAGCGCCACCATGCGTCAGCAGACTTACAGCGGGACCAGGTAGTTGCTGGTTTGAATCCCAGGCTGGGAGAACACGTCACTCATCCTCATATTCATACCTTTATACTGATTATGAACACTGAAATGATGCTACTGCAGGCAGACACTGTAGTTCTAAACAGCAGCAGTGAGATAGTGTTACATTTGATCCCACCCGTTCCTACGATCAGCACATTGAGGAAATCACCAATCAGTGTTTTTACCTAACACAGCTAAAAGTCTTTTCTGTCCTTTTTTTCTACATCTTTGTTTCATCCAGATGTGATTATTTTAACACTTTTTTTCCGGCCCTTGCAGCTGGAATCTGAACTAAAACTAGAAAATTTAACATGCACCACTTTTACCTTCCCTTCACTGGCTCCTTATTCATGTCAGCTCATATTTAAAAAAAGAGCATGGGAACGTCACTTCATACACATCTGATCTCATTAAAGCTTTTATTCCAATCCCCCTGCAGGTCCTTCTCTTATCTTGTCTGAGTAACCTCCTTACTGACACCGCTGAGGCCTTTAAAATCCCAAACTCATCTCTCTACCGCTCTCATCACTGTCCTCCATCAGCCATCCTGAGACCTCTCTCTCCCTCTTTTCCCCCCCCTCTCTATGTGTTTGTTTCCTTTCTCCTTTTTCTCCAACCTGTGTGAACAACATGCTCAAGCTTTGTCTTTCTCTGTGTGTGTGTTCATGCAGCCTGTCCTTCATCCAGGTGATGGAGAGGAGGTCTTACCTGATTTGGGCAGCACCTGTGAATTGAATCGACGTCCTCCTGCATCCATATTCTTTGTATAATAATAATAATAATAATAATAACGTTGGATTGCTCTCCTGTTGTTCTTACTGAGGTCTCTTTGCACCCTCCCCCCCCTCCCGTGTGAATACAGAGCCATATTAATTGCATCCAACTCGGCTCAGTTTTTAAACAGACACGACTCTTATAAAAGCATACCGTTGGTTTCAGTCTCGGTTTTAGCGTAGCCCACGATCCTGTGCATCCTGTCCTCTGAGTTCATGAGCAGCTTTCTCCTCCGGATCTCGGCTCTCCTCTGCGCCGCCGACAGAGAGGCTGCCTTCTCCTCGGCGGCCTCTCCGGACTCCATGTTGAGATTAATCGGCGCTGGCTACAAGAACAACTTCACCACTCATGCGAGGCGACGACCGAGCAGCGGGCCCGGCGAGGAGAACAAAAAGCCTCCGCTGACTCGGTTACACGGTAGACATGACGGAGCGTCGACTGAAGGCGAGAGGGAGAGAGAGAGGGCGCGCGCTGATGACGGCACCGCTGAGCATGAGGTATGACGTAGCCTGAGCGGGTTTAAAAAAAAAAAAAAAAAAAAATTAATTCCCTGAACGCTGACTTGCAGGAACAGAGGTCTTTTATAATCTGTGTAACGAGGTCCGTTTATGTGCTTCTGATGTACCTGGAATCTGAAGGATATAAAGAAACAAAAGAATAAATAAAAACAATGTAAATCAGCAAAGGGTTGTCTTTGTGATTTTGTGGGACTGTAGGTTTGGTGGCCGCCTGGGGCATATGCATGTGTCATTGTCACATGTAAAATAGTGCAGTTATAATTAGAAATGCAACTAATGATTTTTTTTTTCTTTCCATTTTTAGTAACTGATAAATTAATTGGTTCATGTAAAGTCAGAAAACAGCAAGAAATGTCCACCGTTTCGACAGAAAGCTGAAACCAAAGATATTCAGTTTAATATTACAGAAGACTAGAGCAGATTTTATATATATAAATGATAAAGTAAATATTTACTTTATCATCAAAACCAAGTATATAAAATTAAACTAATTAATTAAGCTCTTCATGCTGGAATGGAAAATGGAGGCCTGATCCAGATTTGTCAAAGCCTGATCTTGTGATGGTTCTGACCCCCAGGTTGGGGGGTTGCTTTAAAGCAACTGCATTACCGTAAGCACTATAATACAAATATTACACAATCATAATAACACACAGGACCTGCAGTTGTAAAATTGTGCAGCAGCAAGCACAGTGTTGGCTATCATCTTTGTGTTTTAGCACAAAAAAGCAAATCTGCTGTAGTCTGTCAGGTCCAGTCATTAAAATAACTTTTATTAAATGAAAAAGTATAATTCTGGATAAAAATGAAATTAATTAATAAGGCTATTCATGCTAGAATAGAAAATCGAGGCAGATTTTTCAAAGTCTGAATTAAAACACACAAGGCATATTCAATAAATAAATGTTACCTAAACTACATAAATAAAAATGAAGAACTAAGAAGAGATAAAATTAAAGTTGAAAGAGCAAGGAACTTTAAAATCAAACAGAGGACTGATAAGGTTGGTAAATATCAGATGTTACTGCTCTTTGACTACCCTGCAGGCTGCGGGAACTGGGACAGATTGACAGTTTAAGGACATCCAACTTTGTTTGGTGTTATAGTTTCAGTTTTAAAGAAAGTAACTGAGAGATAATGTATAAAATGAGATATAAAACAACTGCATGTTGGATTCACCTCATCTAGTATTATATATACTGTTGGTCACTGGTTATATTAATGCAATATACAGCCAGCTTTCTTCTTTAAAAGGACACGTTACAATTTTGATACCGAATGATCTAACAAGTAACATCATATTGTTAAAATATAATTTTTATAGCTGACATTTGACGGCCATTTAATAGAGCAACAGTTAATTTACAGAGATAATAAATGCTTTTTAAAATATGTCTTTATTAATTTCAAATAAACCAAAGCACAATGATCAGATGTGCCGTGGTCTGTTATTCCTTTAACACAATTACAATTTAAAAATTTCTGAGCCGTTTGTTTTGTGTTTTGTAGTTTTTGTTGACCACAGCAGTCTTTGCATCTGAATGTGTTAATCTGAGGAATATCACCTGTTATTTGTCTGCTAGACTACACTGCCAAACGCACTTTCCCGTCCAGCTTATGCAACTTGATCGGCTGTCAGTGAATTGATTCAAACAAATAACATCATTTTTATTCTAAGGGTTTGGAGAGGATATCAAGCAGTGGCACCACCAGAGATTTTTCATAGGTGTGGCCAAATGGGGCTACTAAAGGTTGGACAGAGCTTCCTAGGTCTCTGAAGTGAAGCCAACGCCAGTGTCTCAAACCTGAATTTTTTCTAATGACCAGCAGGTGGCAGCTCCATGGGCTGCAAAAAAGATAGTATTAAGTCTTATGACCCTTCTTTTCACTTGATTTATTAGCTCAATAAACAGTTTCCTAATGATTTTATGGTCTCAATCACTAGTTTCAAGTCTTCTCCCATGCGATAAAGCACAGCATGCTTTTTGGAGTGGCTACCTTGTGACTGATGAGTCATTCTCAGCGAGTCCGTCTAACTCAACACATGAAATTTGCCTAAAATCCTTTTAGTTCATTGGAGTCAAAACCAAGTGTAGCTAAACTCACAGTACGTCACCGCTGCTGGCTGCAAAACACTAAGATGCGATGGCCCTAATTCCAAACTCGAAGCTTCAAAAAGGTACTGCGCAAACCAATGGGTGACACCACAGTAGCTTCAAAGTTGGGGGGCACAGCAAAACAAAATGCCAGAGGAGGGGTCGGAGTGTGACGCAGTGAACGGTCAAAAGTGGCCGAGTGCGTTTGTGATTTTCTACACTATTAATTTAAATTAATAGTACCCATTGTATAATACAATATTAGTCATCACTCAGAAGCATATTATGGATATGTGACTCAAAAAGGGGAGCCAAGTGATTGTATCAGAGGGGCCCTGGCCACGCCTTAGCGGCACCACTGATCTGAAGTCTTTGTGCTGTCATGTCATCGACTTAAATTTTTTTGTGAATCCACACATTCTCTCTCTTGTGGACAAGGGACGTCACGAGTCGTTGGTGTTAAAGTCAATTTGCAAGTCTTTTTGATTTGGTCAAGTCTATTTGATTCATGACTTAAGTCAAGTCAAAGGCATGTGACTTGAGTCCACACCTCTGCAATGTACTCTGTACAAACACAGGCTATTTTTATTTTCATCACGTTTTTTTTTTTATGAAAGACAATTTTGTGCATGAAGACCAAAACATATTTGTCTGTTTTCTAAATACATTTTTGCTTATATAATACATAGATTACAAACTGTATGAAATCAGACCAAATCAAAAACCTTCAATTCACACCCAGTCAAGAGAAAAATTGACTATATTGGTCCATATTGTTTTGTAGTCTTCATTTTCACTGAATAAACACTGCTCACCCACCAAAACACAAAACTACATTTAAAAAGTCCCAAACATTTTATTTTCTTAGCGTCATTTCACCTTAATGTTTATACTAAAATCATCAGCATTTCTTCATCTTTATATAACGCAGTCTTTTCAATATACAAGTATCAATAAGCATGATTAAAAGATCACAATGGCTTTGTTATGTCTGTGTTAAAGAATTTCCCATATCCTATTATATTAAAATATTTCATATATAGAGTCTGTATTTGAACAGAGGTTTAATAATAAAAAGTGAGTTCCCATACAAGGCAATTATAGAATTTAATCAGACTGGGAGTCTCATAAATTATTAGATTATCAGAAAAAAAAAAAAAAAAAAAGAAATAAACAAACAGAACAGCAATGTCGTCAGAGGTGTTCTGAATGTCCAAAGACAGAAAAGATGACAGAGTTTCTGAAGGACAGATCAGACCAATGAAAAAGACTTTCCACTGCCAAGTCCACACATTCAAGGCAGCAATGACGGCAAGGTTGACCCACCATCAAACACCTTTAACATTTCTGCCTTTTTACGACAGAGTCTACGGATTTGTTCGACACACAATTATAATGACTGAGAAATAAAAAGCACACGTTCTGTCCTTCGGGTACGATATTAGAGTGTTGTTAGAGCTCAGGTGTTCTGTATAGAAACACTCCTGGTGACATCCAATAACAGTCTTTGAGCGCAGACATACTAAACATCCTTACAAACCTAGTCTTAAGCATACATACATACGTTTTGACTTGTTTTTGTAAAGACAACTGTGCTTTTTGAACAAAAACACTTCACACATCCATTGCCTGAACTGTATCTGAACGATAGCTCAGTAAGATAGCATTGTTCTATGAGAATAAACACTGATTCATCCCATCATCGACACACACAATCATCATCAGCATGGATTTCTTGCCTCTTTTTTTTTTTTTTCTTCCAACGTGTTGATTCAGCTGGGTAAAAAGTGCTAAATAAGCATCAGAATCAGTTCTTTGTCACTCTCTGTCCGCACACTGTCCATCACATAGTTTGATTTGAGTGACGCTTCCTGTCAGTTCAGCTCAGGACCTTTTCCTTAGAGAGATGGTGCACCACAGCTGGAGATTCCTTTAGCCCCACTGCTTTCACTCATACACTCATACACACACACACACACACACACACACACCATATACCTACCTACCTACATATACATATACACACACACACACACACACACACACACACACACACACAGATGCATGTCCTCACTTCAGTGTTCCCTCGTCTCCAGAGCCCCACTGAAGATTATTTGGAGATTTGCTGTTGGAGGTGAAGCAGGAACTCGTAGTACGACAGGGCCGACTCTGTTCGGTCCTCGATCATGTTCTGCATAAAGCTGGCTTTCCACTGGCTCTCGTCCCTGAGAGAAACAAATGATAAAAGAGCAAAGAATGAAAGACTGCTTGCCAAAATTAAAATCCACAAGCAGGTGTTGGCTGGGTTTAATGCCCACCTGATCACACGCAGGGAGGGGAAGAACGGCCTCTGATCCCTCAGCCAACCAATGAAAGCTCTGGTTCTCTGTGACTCGGCAGTGTCCAGCTCTGGGAGCATAAACTGTGAGAGGAGAGAGCGATGGTCAGGTTTTCATCATCATGGGTACGATGCAGTGAGTAAAACTGAACGGCTGAACTGTGTGTGAGTTAACAGATGTGACCATTATACCATCCTAAAGACGATTTGTTGGAAACTACTGGGGCACAGATACCGGTTTAAAAGTGATGGAGTGAAAAATGACCACAGCAGGTAGAAAAAGTGTGAAAGCTGCACATGAGGTTGCCTACCAGGTTATCAGGCACGGAAGCATAGCTGGGAACTCCCAGCACTTGTGAGAGGAAGTTGGGGTTGCAGTTCCGTCCGATCCACAAATACATCACCTATTAGAACAGAATAAGAGATAGATTAAGTATAATCACGGATAAATAGTAAGCATTGTAGTATTCACTGTGAACACACTTCATTACTTGGTGCTTGAAATATGAGAGAGATAAAAGCGGAAG